CTTAGTGACCAGGGGTTTGTGAGGCACCTTATCGAACGCTTGATTGAAGTCTAAAAAAAGCTATGCTGGATGTGGTGGGGCCCAGCCTAATATCAGACCTACTTGGCGACACGGTTGGTATCACAAATGACGTACCCTCCCTGTGGTGTTGTGAGGAACATTGAGACCAACCCAGGCAAATATGCTCCACCAGATTGTGTGTCGGATAGATCCCACATCCTAGTTCTGAGGATTGATATGGCTGTGAAGGTTTGGTTTACTTTATTGCAGAAGGATTCACCAAAGGAACTACACCGTCTTACAATGCTTCAGTGTGTAATCCCCCTAGCCATGTCCTGGTGGACAACTTGAAAGACTTATACCTACCGGCAGACTGTATTCCATTGATAGAATAATACGTTTTCAGACTGAGGAAGATGCCGGGCGAAGCCATCGGACCGCTTCTTTTCAAGTTTGGTGCAATGTGTGCATGAACCTAAATTGATTGGTAATAATAAACCACCACCTTTATTAACTGAGTGTTTTTCCAGTAACTAGTCAAATATTCCCCTAGCCAAAGACTGGCAGTAAATCCACTACCTTACGCAGAAAACAGCCTTGTCCTAGACATAATGGGCAATGTCAATCCAAAAATCGCCAAACGGGCCATTGCACCCAATATCCTATATTAAGAGTAGCAATGTAAGCCCAGTCTCAACCAAACTCACTTCGGGATCTATATTTTTTGATAGTTGTGAAGTTTAGGGGAGATTCTTAAAAGGAAATGACTCCACTCAACTGCACAGAATCTGCAGTAGTGTCCAAGACAGAAGGTGATACAACGAGATCTACAAGAGACTTTCGGGCTCAACACCAAAATTCATTTCGTAAATTTTCTGTGGACACCTATTTCAGGTTTGCCTCTAGGCGAAATGTTTTCCAAAATGGAAGGACAATACTCAAGTAGTGGGCGTATCTTTGATTCATACAAAATAACCTCCGATTCTTGATCGAAGTTGAGAAACACGAATTCATTCAACCTCTTGCCTTTGAAAACTCCAAAATTGAACCTTTTTGATTTTGGCTTCTCAGACTAAGCCCGGCATTCTTATCCCGGATCCTTGGTGAAATGGCCTAATTCTAAAATGGGGATATTTCTTTTGCCCCCATGCCCGGCGCACTACAACCCACAAGACCATGAATATTATCAGAAACTCGTTTTTAGCAGAACCAAACCTCGCTCAAATCTCTGTTACATATACCCAGTTGGGGAATCTTTTACCGTTGGCGTTGGGACGTGGCGGTACGTTACTTCACTTTACAATATTGTCAAGTAAATTCTTCCCCTAAAATGGTCTCGAAGCGGCAAGCCGGAAACTAAATGCTAGTGACATTATTTTGCCCCACTTTGATACAAGTGCCAACCATCCCAAATCCTTAGAATTTCTTCTTCTGGTAAAAAATATTTGTTATGTTTTGACACAGACATTATACTGTGTACAAATGTGAGACGTATTGCTGTGGGACCAAACATCTGACGGTTGGACCGCTGGGTGAAGTGCTTAGGAGGGGATACATCCCTTCGCTGGGAATAACCATACTCTTCTCCATCAGTCAACATAGAAGTCATTTACCTTAACGTCTAAGGGTATGAGCGATCTGGGACTAAGGTTTTAATTATTTTTCGGACGCGGTCCTCCCCGTTAATGCAAACGTGACTATTTGCCCTGCTTTCAAGGGGCGGCTCACAGGACCTGAGCTGTAGACTCTGAATCACCTTTGAGACCAACAAGGGCTGCCTACGAACATCAGCATGGTGATTTGACCATACTTTTAGGGAGATGATGTTCAGATCCCTATTTCCCAACTGAATACTGAGTCAATAGGCCATTGCCGGGATCATTCTCACGTTGGTTTGAGCAAGAGGCGTAGCAATCCTATTAAACTCCCGCCTTTTCCCGTGGCAGCACTATTCAGTTCCCTGATGTGCCCACCTTCCTTATTCTTGTTTTCCTCATGGCACTTATCAGATTAGACATTCATAGTCTTCTTCAAAGAGACCTGCTTCAAAGCTTCGCTCATGGCATAGCAGTCCGTGACAGATTTGTCTCGGTTAGGAGTTGGCTCTTTTGTACCCCCCTTTACCCTAGTATACTTAATACTAGAAATCAAAGGGGAATAGTCTTAGTGTTGGGATCCCACTTGCTATGACCATTGGGACCAGTGTTCATGTGGTGGAACGTTTTCCTGGTCAGTTTTCTTAGAGTGGGTTCAGATTTATGATGAACGTCTGATAAATTCTCAGTCTATCTGATGCTTGCAATCGGCCACGCGACTTGGACAATAATACCAACCCACACCAAACGGGCTATTCTGGTGGCTGGCTAAGATCACAAAAACAGTGGGCCCTTGTGAGCATGGCTGACGACCCACAGTTCCAGCAGGGTCACATACAGTGCCGTAACACCACGGAAACATCATTTGATACTAGGAATAGACAAAATCATGTCCACATGTGAGAGAATAACAGGCTAATCGGTAACCTCTTAATCGATTGAATAAGTCTGAACAACAAGCGTACGGAACCTACGTAACAACTTCCAAGCCCTATGTGTATATGTGTGCAAATAAAATACCTGTCAGGGGACCCTTTTCCCTAACGTTGAGCAAACTTCCTCACAAACTCCCACTTCGCTGAACGCACACGTTCCTCTATATTCGCCATCGTAAACATAGATGAAGGTATAAATTGCACTAAAGCAGGAAACTGCATCCTCAAGTGTTTGACAATCTAAGCACGTATAACTAATGCCACAACAAAGAAGGTTGAGCGAGGAGAAACAAGAACATAGGAGACAAACTACTTGTTGGAGCACCTTCTCCTTTTCTCTGCACGCTGCTTTGCCTTCATTTCTTGTTGTCCAGAAATAATTCAGTTCTTATCGTTGGCTTGTATATAACTGAACATTTCTTAAAGCAGCCAACTCTGGTTGCACCTATCTAATCTTTGTGTATACCACTTCATTCGATTTTCCGGAATTACTTCTGTCAAAGACCTATTTTGTGACAAAGTGCACTCCAACTTACTCTGACATTTCGTACTATGACAGACGTGACGAACTGGAATGTCCGCCGTAGACAGCTGCATATTCTCTGGGGCCTACCATTGGGGGGTGGAGGGCACCTCCCATCATAGGGTGGGTTCACCTAGTGCATGGAACTGACAAATAGTATTTACTTCATAGTCACATCCATCAAGGCCTAGGATAAAACAAGGGGGAAGGGAGGCAGCTGATCAGCAGATTTGAGTAGTGGCCAATGCAATTTAGTCTTATCTGTGACGCAACATAACCAAACTGTTAAAGCTCGTGGCAAAAAATGAAATGAGTGGCCTACGTTACACTATTAAATTTGCTGTTAGGCCTGAACGAACTGTGCAAATAAACTGCGATATATAGGCTAATTGACCAGGGAGTCGTGAATAGGCAACACAGCGTTACAGAGGAAACGTTACTGACGGAGTGGTTGCTCATCCGTACACCTTAAGCCTAACAAGTCCCACAAAATGATGAGGTTCTGGATTAGTGTTGACTATCGTCGAGCCTTAGGCTGCTGATTATGCGGAACTGTTTTTTTCAACGGTACCACTAACTGCTACTCTCACACTCCATGCCTTCGTCTACCACGAGTAAAAAGTTTATATGCCACGTCCTCGAGATTCCAACGTGTTAAACAGGTGGAAATCACTGGGAAATGGAAGTTAGAAGTGCGAAGCAAAGTTGACAGATCGCCCAGAAATATATACCGACTGCAAGCTGGAAAAAACAAAGCTGAAGTGGTCTATGTAGTTACAGAAGCGGCTAGTGATGTCCAAAAACACTAACTTCAGCTGATAAATATAGATCTAAAGTGTGGTGATAAGGTTACACAAAATGCTCTTCTCCAAAATGCCACCATCTTTCGAGAATATGCAATTTTTACAGAGAGGGATTTGACATGATTTATGTAGTGAGAGCTCAGAAGTTCAGTCGAAGGTGAGTCCAAAAGTTCACCTTGACAGTCAACAGTTTGATGTACACTGAGAAATATGTACGCCGGACTTATGGGAGGCGCGAAGCCGTAAAACTCACACCTCTCAATCACGGTAAATGAATCTCCAATATTAGATGAGGAAATAATGGAAAGTCGTGATTTCCTTCTCGACTAGTGGGGTTAGGGGTTAACTTCAAGCCTGTTTACTGACGTTTACTGTATATTCCTCCACAGCGAAAAAGCCAGCTGGCTGACCCCCTACCTGAAAGAAGACTTGGCATGAACCTTACCTGGATCGCTTAGACTTCCCTAAGCCGCGACACACGCAGCCAACCAAAAGGGACTTATCATATAACCCAAGTCCCCATAAACATAACAAATCCCTGAAAAATTTTGGTTCAGAACTGGCCCTTAGACGTGATCCTTTGACAGTACAGCGTGACAGAGTTCGTACGAATGCCCATAACCAATCGTTTGCAGTTAAGATCTGTAAAACGCCGAAATTCCCTCGCTGAAGTTGTTGTTACCAGTTCTGTTAATGATTTCTGAAGGAGTTTCAACTCCCACTTCGGGCCATATGGTTCAACTGGGCCTTGCTCAGGAAGATTCCGGCCAAATTACAAATCTTAGGCTGCAACACTACCAGAAGCGAGCTTATTATTAATTACTTATGATCTCCATGGGTTTCGTTTTCTAAGAGCCAGGAAAAAAAACCGTTGTCACAATGAGCAAGAACGCTTCTTCCGTTTGCATGAATTAGAACCCAGATGACCATCCTTCTCAATTTCTACAACACCAGAATTGGAGTTTGAAGATTCGTTTTAATATGTCTGACAATTTAAACAAGTATGAGTTTTGTGCGTTTATTGAGGGATACTTGAGGTGGGTGATTCTGGTGTCGTTGTTCTACATGGTTTTTGACAAAATGTTTCTCTCTCATGCATTACTGCCGTTTATTTTGATTAATACTGGTTTTTGAGACTGAACTGATGAGGAGCAATGACAACCATTCTATGGTAACTGTTTTCAGTAGCTACCTGAAATGCGTTTACTGAAGTTGTTACTACTGCAGTAGTACTAACTGTTTAGGACCTGTCTTCGTCCATTGATCTAATGAATAACATAGATACATACCTTATCTACATTGATATTTACGGATACAGTTCGAAGCACAAGGGTAATAATTACACGAACCATTTTGACCACTGTACGTTTAGGATTTCTGGGTCATTCTTGAAATTAAACTTGGGCTTATTTCGGGATTTTCGGGTAGTTTCCCAAACTTAAGTACACTTCACCAAATTCTAGTTCCTAAGTTGGCACTAAACTCCTACACATCAACAGATGCAAATCCCTGTCACTCACTGGTGTTTGAGTCTGAATTATATCGAAGACTAGATGCACTTTAGACACTGGGTTTTGGGTGGACTTTCAAATTTTTGTAGTTTCCGGGTGGAACGTTCATTATTTTCGAAACACGGATACGTTTCCTACAATGCACCCAAAATGTTTGTCGGTTTTTACCCAAAAGGTTTTCTGACTGAGACGTACTTGCTGTCCAAGTTGATCCTGCTTAACTGGGTGAATAAGGTAGGTGATGAAGCATAGATTTCGATTCCAGTCAGGGTGGTGGTGTATTGCGCTCGGGTGTAGTTGTTTTTGCTCTTAATTTCTTATGGGGCTGACCATCCTACAGGTCACCAGGATCTAGATTCAGGAGCAGTGATCGAACCATCAACTGAGGTAACTGTTTTCTCACAGACTAGAACTTGTTACCAGAATGATAAGCAGCCGCTTTGGTGAATGCAGTCAATAAGGAACTGGTTCTTCACTGGGGTAACTACTCCAAGGATAAAAACAGCAACAAATCACCAGTTAGTTTTTTCCAACTAGCAGTTGAGTTGATTTCATATAGTACGAATAAGGAATTTATTAAGGAACAGATAATCAAGTCTTATGTTTGATCTGTCGAAGTTCATAATCAAGGTGAGTGATGCTACCTAACCACACATGTTCTGTTCATATAACCTGAACAGTACTTTGTTTGTATGTCTTAAGGAGCCATTTGTATACCTTCGCTTATTAGTCAACTCCTGTTGCCTCTATATTCAAATGTGCTTTAATAATCGACCACCATTAAGGCATCCTTGCTAGCGGTGTTCTTATCTGTGCTAAAGCTTTTTCAGAGAAGTATACTTGCTTTCAACGTTGGTAACATCTCTTATTCAAGGGAAGGGCAGAGAGAATCAGAATATGGCATGGTACAGAAGTGCATCACCCACACTACATAGCAGCATGCAGAACGCAGGTGAGTAGGCAACAGTGTATAGGTAGAGAAGAGAATAAAATGACGTGAAAATGTTTAAACACTCAAAATCATCCAGGAGTGAATAAACCTACACAATTGTGATCGGGTTTCAGACATACCACCAATGGTTTCCAGTCATTGACTCATATTATTTCGAGAACCACAGTCTACCTCAATAGACCATGGCTCAAATCAGCCGTCAGAAACTTCATGGTTTGATGCCATCAATCAATATCAACATAGGACCAGGCATTACTGCATAACGGTTCGAGTTGCCACAGCTCATATCAGTACATCAAGTAGAAAGGTAGTGAGGTGAAGGATGAAGATAAGAGAATGCAGTCAAAAGAAATATAAAGTACGAGAAGAAAGGGAAGGGATTCGGTATAGCGTCGTTAAGATGAGGATAATGTCTGTGAGGATGCATCTGCACCACTGACATCGCTTCTGAGCCATATCCCCTAGAGTCCCCAACCACTGGTTCCTCTTGTCCCGCGGACCCCAACCACATAGTCTGCATCGCCCCACATGGCTCAAACCAACAGTCAGAGACTTCATACATTGGTGCCATGTTTTAGTCTGGCAACCTCGGGCCTTTTTCCAGCCTGGACCTACTTCGGCCAACATTGTGTGACGAGGCAGTCGGTGACTAGGCATACGTAATAGGTGTCCCAACCATCTCAATCGATGGAGGTTCATAACCTCATCAACTGATTTACCTCTTCTCCCTAAAATCTTATGCCTGACTTCTGAATTACTCACGTGGTGACACCACGGAATACGGCCTATACTACGAAGGCAACGGTGGTCAAACATTTGAAGCCTCTCATATCTTCCCACTGAAAGTGTTCAGAAGACTCTGCATCTTGTCAGCGTCTTCACTTAACAGGACTATGTTATGTCATCTGCATATTCTAGGTCTAACGAAAATTCTCCTGTGATTAGGTCAACGTCTGTGTAACCTGGTGATGAGAGGGAAACCTCCATAAGAATATCTATGATGAAATTGAATAAGAATGGAGACAGTGGGCATCCTTGATGGACACCACTGGATGAGTATAGCTCCCTGGACAACTCACCATAGGCTCTAACATGCCCACAAGTGTTCGAGTAGAGAGCCTTCAATAAGGTGATGTACTTACTCGGCACGCCTTTCAGTGAGAGACATTGCCATACGACTTCTGGATCAACGGAGTCAAATGCTGCCGCCTTCAAGTCGAGAAATACAGCTATTGTTGGGCGTCTGTAAGCGTGCATATGTTCCGGGACCTGGCGAAGTGTGAGTATTTGGTCGATACACCTGCGGCCGGGTCTACAGCCTGCTTAGTTTTCTCGGGCTTGCTGTTCCCGAGCTCCACTCAGGCGTCGGAGAATTATAGGACCTAGGATCTTAGACACTATGTTCGTGAGGCTGATTCCTCTGTGGTTATCACGAGAGGACTTCTCACCTTTCTTGAAGACTGGGATAATCAGTGACTTAGAGCAGTCGGAGGGGATCGTATTTGATTCCTATATACTAGCTAACACTTCCGTTAACCTGACTGAAAGCACCGCACCAGCATTCTTGTATACCTCAGTAGGTAGTCCGTCTGGTCCTGCCTCCCTTCCTCGTTTCAGGTTACCTACCGCTTTCTCAACTTCTTCAAGTGTTTGGGGGACCTATCTCTATGTCGCATTCAGGATCCGACTGGATAGCGGGCAACGCAATGGTGGCTGGAGGCCAGTTGAACTGTTCCTCGAAGTGTTCTGCCCATCGTTCTAGTTGTCTCCCTTGCGAGTGAATCGCAGACCTGTCCTTCTCCGCTATAGCCTCAGTAACTGTTGTTGAACGTTTCCCCCCAGTCTCCTTAATAAGTCCAAATAACTGTCTACTAATACAGATCGCCGTTGCCTTTTCCATCTCTTTAGCCTTCGCTGCCCACCACTGTTTGCAGTCGTTGCGTAGACTTTTTCTCAATCTACTTTTAAGTTACGCTTGCTCTTTATTGTACTCATAGCCTGCAGGCAGGGATGCGTTCACGTGCATCCATCAGTTCGGAAGAAGCTGCTGATATCCACTGGCTCTTTTTAGCCAGCCACTCTTTTGGAGTCGGCTACAGTATTCAGTGCTGCTTTTACAGCAGACTTGAGATGGCACCAAGCTTCTTCTGGATGAGTGACAGTCTTTTGTTCCGATAACTGCCTAGCCAACTTCTCACTGAACACGGCTTTGGTGTTTTCGTTGTCCAGCAGCACTCGTAATGGTTTTGTTGCCAAATTCTTTCTACGTCCATTGAGACGCAGGCATATACGTGCTCGGACCAACGCATGATCGCTGTCCAAACACGTACTCCAGAAGGAGCGGCAGTCTTCCACCGATCCTCTCCAGCGATGACTAATAGCAATGTGGTCTATCTGTGTCCATCGCTGAGTTGAGCTCGGTGGACGCCAGGTCAGACAGTGCCTTTCTTTATGTCTGAAATTTGTGCTGGCTAAAAATAGGCGGTTATCTGAGCATAGTTGTAATAGGCGATCACCGTTATCTGTACGTTCAGCTGGGATTCCGAAAGTGCCACCTAAGTGCCTTTCTGCCTCACTCAGTCTACCCACCTGTGCGTTGAAGTCACCTGCAACAAACACCACGTCCGAACGTTTGGCTTTCGAGAGGAGGTTAGACAGTTTGCGGTAGAACTCGTCCTTCACTTCATCCGAGCTGAAGTCAGTGGGTGCGTAAGCAGAGATTACAAAGAGACAACGGCGAGTCTCACTATCCCTTTAAGTTCTCATTGTGCCATTCAGTCAAACAGCACAGAGGAGACCATCAACTGGGATCCAGTCTAATAATGAGTTTTCTGCCCTAGTGCTTAGTGCTATGCCTACACCTGCAAGACCCCGAGAGCTAGCTATCGAATCTTCAGAAACTCGAAGGGTGAATTTTGCGGATTCACCAGATTGGTAAGGAGATGTTAGGTGAATAACCGAACTTGGGTCCTGTATGCGTGTCTCCCAAACACAGCACACATCCATGGCCCGAGTTGCTAGAGTCTTTGCTAACGAAGCCTGTTGACCAATTTGACGGAGGGTGTGGACATTGAAGGCTCCAATATGTAATTTGGAGCATGGTTTAAGGAGGAGACCAGGGATGCTGTTCTGTGGACTCAGATCGTTGTGGAAGGCTACAGAGCTAGGAGGAATTAAAGATGATGTAGTATCGTTAGTTGAGAGACGTGAAAGAAGATTAGGAGGTAATGTTAGGGGAGGTGGATAGCAGTCTGAGGAAACTTGAGTGCTGATAGAGTAGAGTTGTGAGGGCAGTTGACACTTCCCGTCTGCCCACACCATGGAAAGTTATTTCTTCCTAAAGTACCTGAAAGAGAATTTGTGTGACCGTAGAGCTCATCGGACATCTGCTTGAGGCCTGTCACATGTAGCCTTTTGAGTATGATTATTTTGAACTTTTGTATTTTTGAGGCTGGATGGTTGAAAGGAAAGTACAAATGAACCAACACCGCCAGCCCGACAGACCGTGGGGCATAGTGGAGTGTGTTACTTTTGGGGCCGACATTTTCTACCCCCCCTTCCATTGAGAAGGCAGCATCAGCATGGCACTGGTGGTCATCGAAGGGAAACACCTTACTGCTGTCACACTCCATCCAGCTAGCAGCAGTACGACTTCGCCCTCAGACCCCCATCATAGTGTAGTAGTTTACACCACAACGGTAACTGCTT